TTTTTTTTTTATTGAGACAAGAGTCTAATTCTGTCACCCAGGTTTGAGTGCAATAGCATCAGCCTAGCTCACGGCGTCCTCAGACTCTTGGATTCAAGCTATCCTCTTACCACAGCCCCCCAGTAGCTGGGATTATGGGAGTGTACCACCACACCTGGCTAATTTTTCTATTTTTTGTTGAGATGGGGTCTCACTCTTGCTCAGGAGTGTGGAACTCCTGGTCTCAAACAGTCCTTCTGTTCCAGCCTCCCAGAGTGCTAGGATTATAGGCGTGATCCACCACACCCAGCCAACATATGGTTTTTACCACCAGAGAACCCTAGTTTATTTGGTTCAGAGGTATTGCTCCCACTAATAGATAGGCCCATATTTTAGAATCCTTACTTCTTTGAATCTTCTTTTGTTGGATTCCATCAAACCAGATTGGACATGTGTGCAGACCTGATTCTGACGAATAATTTTCCCATACAAGCAGCAAATGAGATTCTAGGTTCTGGGCTGCCCCAATACTTCGTAGGCTCTCAACAGCCCTGAACTCACTGCTGAGAACACAAGAACTGAACAAGGGTTGACCCGTAGGTCTCACTACATCAGCTTCAGTCAAGCCCCATACATATGGACATCTGGAAGAAGCTGGTGTGTGCACCAGGCTATGGCAAGACCAGGAAGCCCTGCTGCTGGTTGGTGTGGAAACACCCAGCCTGACCAGGAGGGTCTGTCACCTCAGATTCACACTGTCATGCCTGTGCTCCAGTCACACTGTTTTGGAACATTTAATGATTTTTATATTTTCCATTTCTGTAGGGATTTTATAGACTGTTTTATAGATTTCCCTAAGCCTCTGATCGCAGTGGTAAATGGTCCGGCTGTGGGGATCTCCGTCACCACTCTGGGGCTATGTGATGCTGTGTATGCGACTGACAGGGTAAGTCAGCTCCCGAAACAGCAAGCGGGAAGGCAAATAGAGGGGAGCTAGACCTTGGGGATCCTCCTCTGTTACTGCTAGTGGTAAGCAGATTACATGTGGTTTGTGGTAGAATGCACTACATTTAGGTTTTTCTCAAAGAATTAGCCTAATATGGCCGATTTTATTTTTCCTTCATTATTAACTCACATTTCCCTAAACACCAGTATTGTTGTAAACATTGTCCCACCTCTGATGGTTCTAAATTCTAATCAGATTGTATACCATAGTTATTCAATTTTCAGTTTTCATTTTACTCTGAAATACTCAAGAGACACTTGAAAGCTTGTGGCAGGAGAGAAGAATAGCATGTTCGCAGGTTGTACAAGCAGATTATGTGATCTTTCTTTCTGAGCAAATGAGTCCTGGTCTGTAGGATTTTAGAATGAGAAGAGACATGAGCATTATTTAGTCCCACTCGCTCCTGTGCAGATAAGAAAACAAAAGCTCTGGAAAAAAGAGTTCCCGTTCCAGACACAGTTTAGCTTTGTGTTTATTACTGAATTACATAGATTTTAATTTTTACTCTTGCAATACTGGTAATATATTGATGGATATCCTAGTGGGAGAAAATGTGAAAACTGTGGAAAAGTACAAAGGAAATATTTAAGTTAAACATCACTCCTTGGCTGGGCATGGTGGTTTATGCCTATAACCCCAGATCTTTGGGAAGATTGCTTGAAGTCCAGAGTTCAAAGACCCGGCAGCATAGGTGGACCCTGTCTTTATAAAAAAGAAAAAAAAAAAATCACTTCTTATCTCACCACTTAGAAATAGCCAAAGCTAACATTTGGGTTATTTAAATTATCTAATCAGTCCCTGAGTGTTGGACCTTGGGCTATTTCCAGGTTTTTCATTATTAGCCAAGATGTAATAAACATTTATCTTAAAACTTTTACCCAGGAACATTTACAGTAGAGCCAATAACCACTTCTAGGGTTATCAGATTATCGAAGTGACTTTTGCTTATGTTGTGGTAAAATTTGTCGATCTACAGCCTTGTGGGAAACATATGGTTTTTATCACTGAAGAGATTTCTAGTTTTGTTCAGAAGTATTTTTCCACCAATAGACAAGACTGTATTTTAGAGTTCTTAATTGTTTGGGTCTTCTGTTGCTGGATTCCATCAAAACAGATTGGATATGTCAGCAGACCTAATTCTTCTGAATAATTTTCCTCATAAAACTAACAAATGAAATTGTAGGTACTTAGGTGGCAGTTTCTTTTCAAAGGCAGAAGTCAGTAGGCTTTGTTCACCTTCTGTGTGATGGAGATGGGTAACTGGTTCGTCACTGACATTGACCTGCTTTTAATAGGAGCTGGGTAAACAGTTCCTGACCTGAAATTGGAGATCTCCTCCTTTAGTACTTGGAGAACAAACATCATAATATTTGAATCTTGTCTTGATTCTCCCACTGAATTCAAAATCATTTTTAATATATATCATTCTTGTAAATATTTTGATGACTTTTATCTTTTGATAAAAATTATGATAAAAATTAAAGTCAGAGGATGTATATATTCTATATATATTAAACATCCTGCATATATATTAAAATAGTAATACTCAAGTCACATTTGACTTTTGCTATCATTAGATACAAGACACTATATACAAGAGAAGAAACATTATCAGTATATATTGAATATTATAATTTTAATACAGTTTTTTCCTTTCTTAAAATATGTATATGTTTTTTTGGCACCCACTGTACGAAAGCATCACTGTACATTAGATGCTTTAAAATTTTGATCCAAAGTAAAATTTCTTTGTTAAATAATGATCTCTGGTAAAAGCTTACCCAGTTGAGTTAAACCAAGCATCAACGTGGAGAGTGACTAAAGGAAGAATCAGTGGAGAGGATTTGGTTTTATAGGATTTATCATTATTGGTTTCATGAATAATTGCCATATTAAATGATGGGTTAATATTTAACCCAGGTGAACAAAGTTTTAGTCTATTTATCCATTCTGTATTATAGGCAATGGTTAAAAATGCCTACTAGCTTCTTTTGTTAGTACATGATACAATTCTTGTATGAATTAATAAAAAGTAAATCTTAAAAATGCTGAAATTTGCATGCTCACTATTTAGTAGGCATTCACTTAATACACATTATATTTATATCATAAATATATTTCATGTAATGTACACAGTAGGAACCATTGTTCCTCATTTTACAGATGAGAAGACTGTGGCCCAGGGAGGATAAGAAACTCTCCCTAAGTCGCTGAGGAATCTGACCAGAGCCTAAAGTTCAAACCCTTAACTACATCTACTGTTCTATTTCTGAAAATAAGCACTTAAACACTGCTCATTGCCAATTTAGTATGCACCCTTTTTTGTTTTTGTTTTTGTTTTTGAGACCAGCTTACTATGTCACCCTTGGTGGAGTGCTGTGGCATCACAACTCACATTAACCTCAGACTCTTGGGTTTAAGTGATTCTCTTGCCTCAGCCTCCCTAGTAGCTGGGACTACAGGCACCCACCACAACACTGGGCT